CCCAAAACAATATTAGGAACCTTAAAAATGGCATAACAGGGGCACCTATCAAACATGCGATAATTACCTGAGCTTCTCCAGGGTCCAGTAATGTGTGGCTCCATTTTTCTGATCTTGGACTTCTACAGCCACAATGGTGCGAGGGAATGGGCTTTTCTCGCGGTCTTTAGCTGTCTCAGGTGGTAACAGGTCAGGCGAAAGTGGAGAGTAAAGCGTGTCCGTCAATAACACAAACTGGAACTGAACCTGTGAGTGGCATTAGGCACAATCAATAATGATGTTGTCATATTTTATAGATTTAGCAGAGTGATGCAGTTCTTTCTGGTCTTTCTAAAGCGTTCACCTTCTTTTTTAGCTCCACGCTAATGGCATTGGCCTCCTTGAGGAAGATGGCATTGCCCCAAAGCAGATCTCTGAGAGAAGTGAACTGATAACATCTCCATTTACGGAAAGTCCACAGCGCCAGTTCTGTCTCTCTCTCAGTCCATTGCACTATGAGTATAAGAGATTGAATACAAGAGGCACAGTTATTTAAACCGAGTCATTGTGATTAGTTCAAGCTGTTCAAAAAACAAAATTAACCATTATTTGCCATTCGCAGTCTAGTCACCTTCCTCCTGCGGTTCTTCATCTTCCTCTGCCACATCAGGGTAACAACGATTTACCTGTTTCTGCAGGGCTTCTAACCTGCTCTCATAGTCCTGTAAAAGACATACAGTATATCGAAACATCAACAATAAAACAGTGTCATTTTATACTAAATTGTAAAGTTATGAGTTTAGGGAAAAAAAAGTTTTATTTTAAGCTCTTTATGTTGTTTATGTCACTTACTAATCTCTGTTGCTCCAATAGATTGTTGGCCTCCTCTCTCTCTTTGCGATACTGATCCTCAAGTTCCTGCAGTCTATACAAACAAAGAGCTGATGAGTTCGACAACACAAATGTCACATCTTAAACTTATTTGAATGAATTTCCTTCATGTTTCTTTTACCTCTGATCCATTTCCTGTTTCATATCAATGCCCTGTTTCT